CAGAGAAGGGAACAAAGTGTTTATTTTGTCATTGCTGTGAATTTGGCAGCAGTTATGGCTCCATGGGGCTCTGGCCCAGGCTGATTAGGTATTCAGAATAATGCTCAGTGTCTTTTTGGAATAAATAGACCCATGAATGACAAAGGACAGAGCAGTATTAAGGACAGAGGAAATGGCCAACAAAGTTTGTGTGTGTGTATGTTTACAGATATGAAAATGGGAACTGGAGAAAATGAAACTTTTAGAAAATTAAACGTTAGCACCAAGCTATGAGTCCATTTCCAAGAGTCTAAGACCAACTCTGTGAATGACTGACCAGTTATGATAAAGCCACTTCACCTCTATGAACCGCATTTTTCTCAGCTCATAATCAACTTATTTGGAATAGATTTGCAGATCTCAACCCTCACTGCACGTTAGAGCCATCAGGGGGATTTTCAGAAATATGGCTACCCAAGCCCCATGCCAGACCAACTGAACACATCTCTGGGAATGGGCCATAGCTCAGTATGAAAAGAAATCTGCAGGTGATTTTGATGTACACCTGGGCTGGGAACCAGGGCCTGGATGGTTCTTGGTGTCTATTGTACATCTGAAATTCTCTGGTTGAGGGATCTGGGATTCAATCCCTGCACCCACTTCACTTGCCTTTATTTCAGGCCCAGATTCAGTCTCTTCATTACTCTGCCTTGTTTCGTCGCCTACATAGTAGGTAATGAGCTCCTTGGTCTTTTCTTGATTCACAGGAGGGCATGGAAAAAGAATGTAATTCTGAGTGTTTTTTTTTTAATTATAACCTACAGTTGTTGAGTTATTTATTTCGCATATTCAATCACAATTTACTAAGGAATGTGTACCATACAAGTTTTTCCCTATCTTTTCCAAGGCCATCACTTGTAGTCTAAAATTCTTTATCAACTTCCTATCCTATCAACTATAGAATAGGATCTAGTAGACCTGGTTACCTATGGAAAAGCTGGTTTCTTCTTAGAAACAAATTTGACCCCTAGGTGGCGCTACTTTCCACAGTTGGGTTTCTCTCCCTTCCCAGGCATCCTTCTCATCAGCATGTAATGTAGACATTGCTTCTGTATTCATTTTTAGTAATCATAGATAAATGAAAACATTGCAGTGACCATGACAGATGTACAGGATTCTTTCATGCTAGCATCATAAAAACCAAAGACTTAACTGAAGCCATCAATCCATTTACACTTTCCAGCATCTTTGATTTTCCTTAAACTTACCAATGCATCATAGAAGTCAGGTTTATAGATATTTCTTTTCATAGTTTATAATTTAGCATTTAACAATTGGGATGTCTGTGCTAATTACATACTATATACTCTTCTCAATTTATTCAATCACAAAGATATTCTTAGTTACAGCCTATTTTCTTAAAATTGTAATTTTCAGACTGGGCATGGTGGCTCAGGCCTGTAATCCTAACCCTCTGGGAGGCCGAGGCTAGAGGATGGCTTGAACTCTGGAGACCAGCCTGAGCAGAAGTGAAATGCCGCCTCTACTAAAAAAAAGAAAGAAAGAAAGAAAGAAAAATTAGCTGGGTGTGGTGGCGCCTGTCTGTAATCCCAGCTACTCCACGGGAAGCTGAGGCAGGAAGATTTCTTGGGTCCGGGAGTTTGAGGCTGCAGTGAGCTGTCATGCAAACACTGCACTTTAGCCTGGCTGACAAAGGAAGACCCCATCTCAAAGAAAAAAAAAAAAGGAATTCTCAGTGTTTTGGCCACTATAAGAAAACTATGCTCTTTGGTTGTGAAATTGTTCCTAAACTACTTTCAATCACATCCATGGAGAAAGGACTTAGACACCAGAGTCCTTTGTTGTGAATGAAAATCTGATGATTTTCACATCTTCTAATGAGTCTGGAAGGGACAACTCAGCCCACCTTGACCCACAATCTTGCTTACTGCAACATATTTAAGTATCACCAGAATTTGTGTGTGTGTGTGTTTTACATTTCAGGCTTATTTTGAAACAATTACAGACTTACAGGAAATTGCAGGAAAGGTCCTATGTACTTTTCATCCAATTTCCCTAAATACTGTAGTACTATATTAAAACCAGGAAAATGACATTGGTACTGTATATTTTTAAGATAAAAGATGACATGAACTCATCTTACAGATTCAGGCACACAGGATTTTTACTTAACCTAATTGATCTTACATCTGTGTATTTTTCCTCCCCAAATGAAAATTCCTTTTCAAAGCGATACCAACTTAATTATTCCTGTAATTTATTTGACAATATACTAACAACGGTCTCAGAAAAACAAAATCAACAAAATACCTCCAGAATGATTGCCCATCAAAGTTTAAGAGTTTTTCCCATGTTATTTTTGTCCATAAGCTCTATATTATTAAAGAGTCAAATTACAGTGTATTATAAATCACTTGGAATCTGTCTACTGTATGTTATTTTATCCTCCATTCCACATATATTTTGGCTCATTTATTTCAGTTTGCTTTACTTTTTAGATATTGATATTTGCCCTTTGTATCCCAACATTTTGTTATGTACATTGCCAAGAAGATAGAAAAGTTGGGAGAATTTTACAATGAGAACCCATATATTCAGATTCTGTAGTTAACAGTTTACTATATTTATCACATATCTATTCATCCATTCATTTCTTTATTCATCCATTTGTTTATCTTATTTTTTGTTGCTGCATGAAAAGGCAATCAGGACCATTAGTTGATATAATACTTTAGCATGCATATAAGGATTTTTTAATATGAATTTTGTTTTATAATTAGATAAAATCTTGACATGGTTCCAAAAACAAACACAGGGAATTCTAGCTCCTATTGCTATCCCTCTTTCCTTTTCCTTCCCTTTCTCATAGATAACCATTTCAAAATTGCATTTATCCTTCCATTGTTTTCATTTTAGTAAAAGCAGGTAGACATGAGTTTTTATATATCCTTCACTTTTCTTCTGTTCTTCCCTGGTGTGTACTGCATGTAGGAGCCACTGATTAGAACCGCACTTACAAGATACTCAGCCAACCCATGACTCTTCATTAAGTCCCTTGTATGTTTCCAGGGTGGGGAGAGTTGATGTTAAAATAGCTTGTGTTAGGACATACACACACACACACACACACACACACACACACACACAAACTCATAAACTCTGTTAAGTAGATACAGTTGCTAGGGAAATAGATTTCAGTTCCAGTACCTGGAGTGGTGGTAACGTTTCAATATTAGTTAATGAATGAATTTGGTGCAATAAAACCTGATTTCCTGTTAATTTACCAACTAGCTGAGAAATGTTATTACATTTGTACTGAATTCAGCCAAAAGGACTATGGGCTATTACTTCTTTTGGCCAACACCAGCTAGTAGCTAAGTAGTAAGACCTATCAGTTTAGTAACAGCTACAGAACTCAACCAAATCAAAAGCTTAAAGTTGTTTGGTTGAAAGAACATTGTGTGTTTTCTAATCAGTAGAAATATGTCCTCAGATTTCTTGTTTAGATTTGTTCTATGAGTGGAGGTGAATCTCCCCCTACAAGTGGCTCTGCAGCAGTCACAGGTAATTCAGCCACAGGAGTTCAAAGAGAGGCTAGGTGAGCCCAAGTCACACGTTATTTACAGGGAAAAGTCAATAGTAGTTTCCTCTGGTTGAATCTAATAAATCTGTTCTTTGGTTAGTATCAATAAAATTGAAAAAGACGTTACTTGTGTATTCCCTAGTTGTCATCTGAATGCCCCCCTCCCTCCCATCTTACCCCCTCTCATCATTGGTCAATATCAGCTCTCAGGAATCCAAGTAGCATAAGTCAACCTTCCTATTCCATGGCGTGTAGATGTAACAGCTTCATAGTTTTTTAAAAAAATCCTTAGTAGGAAGTCAGATATGGTGATGCCTGTCTGTATTCCCAGCTACTTGGAAGGTGAGGCAGGAGGCCTGAGCCCACAAGTGCACTATGATCACACTTGTGAATAGCTACGGCACCCCAGTCTGGGCAACATAGTGAGACCCCCCCCCATCTATAAAAATAAATAAATAAATAAAAATACCTGGTAGGGCTTATATTCCCATGGCTTCCTTTGCTCAGGCCTTCTAGGGCTGCATAAGTTGATTCTGCATTTTTCTATTTCCACCCAAACATGGACTACACATATTTTTTGAATGTCACCAAGAAAGTACACTTAAAGAATTTGTTATCTTAGCAAATTTTACTGAATATTTTTGGATAGGGAAAAAAGGGATAATATATTATAATACAGAGCAGCCATAAAGTACTGAAAAACTGCATTAAGCTATAAATGTTATTTAAATGTCCCATATAGGTTTTTCCTTTATTTGTCTTCCTCTGATACATTTGAAGTTTTCTTAGGTGTAAACAAATGTCCAGCAATGTGTTTGGATCCCACGTAATAGATCCCTAGTGATTACCGGCAGCTGGACAAATATGAACAAAAGTTTGAATTTATTGTACAGTTATAGGCTTGGCTCACTGACCAGGAAGTCCTGTCCACAGTAGGGCCTTAGGAAATGGAACTCTGGCTACAGTGCTATAGAACTCCTGAAGTCCCCTCCTTCTTTCTAACTTTCTTCTTTGCTCATTTGTTTTGCACTTAGATATTGTTGCTGATGAGTGATCCCAGCCCCATAGAATAGAAACCTTCCCTGTTTAAGTCTCCTCTGTTTGGAACACCAGCTAGACTGAGGATGGAAACTGTTCATTCCAATGGCAAAATTATAAGGAAAAGGATGCTTGTTTGTCCAGCCGATGATAGGTCCCCAAACCAGTATTAATCAGCCTTGGTCCATGAGCACAGAACTGTGGTGTGGAAGAATGGACGCTCCTGCCATGGAAACATGGATTGAAGGGGGAAGACAGACAGGCAGGCAGCACAGTATGTGTTGTATCAAACTCTTTTGCATTTCATCAGGTTATTCATTTTTGAAGATAGCAATTAGGAAAGAGTATGTGTCAACCTGAAATAATGAGATTCAGAAAATATGACTAAATATAGAGTTTATTTGAGTGCAAAGCTTGAGGATACATACCCAGAAATGCAGACTCCAAATGGATTGGGTCAGCATTCCAAAGTGGGGAAGTTAAGGTTTCACTTATATAGACAGTTAACAGGGCTGCAACATTTTTCATTCAATGTCAGTGCACCTAATAGGGATTTGATTGGTTACAGCTCTTTCTGTTTCAAAGAAGACTGCTTTAACATTCCATGAGGAGGGGTGATGATCTGAGCAGATCTTATCCCTGGTGCCACAAAGCCTTTCTTAATAAGGGACACAGCAGAAGTTGCAGCTGCGTGCTATGTGATGCAGGCCACATAGCCACATTCCTCTCGAGGCTCAGAATAATTTAAAGTTCCAACAGCTTCAAGTTTGAATTATTTAATTTCACAGTTGTTGTACTTAGTTATGAGAATATTAAAGGTGTGGTGGTGACCTCTGTTCAAAACATAGGGTTTAGGTCAGCAGCCAGCCTCAGGGCCTTCTCATAGCACAGCAGGGCGTCACTCACTTCCCCTTTCAATTTGTGGACAAGACCAAGGAGGCTGAAACTTTCCACAACACGTACATTCCGGTTAATGCATCTTTTAGCCAATTTCTCTAAAGCATTGAGAATTTTTTCCCTGGAATGGGACATTTCTTCTATTTTCAGACCTTTTAAATAATGAGTGATTGCTTTATCTTTAGAGTCCCTGTGATATTCTTGGAAACGGCCGTAGCGGTAATGAAGCTGTTGCTGTGTGTAATCATCAATGGTTGTCATGCATAACACTTTCTGAAAAGTGTCCTCAGCCTTTTCGAGGTGCCCACTTTCTGCATACATCTCGGCCAGGTCAATATAAGCCAAATCAAATGTGGGCTTTAGTGTTAAAGCTTTTTCAAATTCATGGAGAGCCAATTGAACAAGTCTGTCTACCTTTTCTCTATCCTGCCCTGTAGGCTTCATGTTTGCAGCTGACTTTATTCGAATCATTTGTCCTTTGTAGCAAAGCCCTATCTGGTGATGCAGGAAGGCAGAAGTGGGTGTTGCCTGCAAGGCTGTTTTAAAGAGCTGAAGAGCTTTTTCCAGAGAGCCTCTTCTTCGGTAAAACTTGGCCACATATCGAATGACATAGGTCTGTGAGGATATGTTATCCAGAGCTTCTTTAATGTACTTTTCTCCTTCCTCTCCCTGTCCTTCATCCTGAAGCTTCAGGGCAAGGAGAACCTTAACATATGTATCCTCTGGATTTAGACTGACAGCCTTCCTTAGGAGGTGCAAAGAAGACCCCTTGTGACCTTTTACTGCTGATTTAAAGCTATCCAGGCGATAGGCAGTGATGGCATACCCAGTGTTGAACTCAGGGTTTTCGGGGTCCACTTCCAGTGCCTTTTCAAAGCAGGCCTTGGCCCGTTCATAATTCTTTCCTCCACACTTCAGCAGGGCCCATCCTTCCTCACAGTCCATCTCTGGACATTCCATTCTATAGCGGAAGAGATTTGCAAACTTCTTGCAGGTGTCCTCCACCTTGTCCAGGTGAGCCTGGACGTCCGCCAGCCTGCCCATGTGGTAATACACCCAGGCAAAGTTGCCCCAGGTCACCACACTCCTCACGTCTGATTGGCCAGCGCACTCTGTCTGGATTAAGTCTTCAGCTTCTTTCAAGCTCTCCAGGGCTTCGTCATTCTGGCCTTTCAGGTGTTTCACATAGGCCAGTAGGTTGTGTATTCCCACATTGTATTTGCTGTCTAGGAACTCAATTTGGTCCAAGACCCTGTTTTCTAAATCAGGCATTTCAGAGCCCTCAATTTGCAACCCCCAGGTGAAGTGACATCTCAACTGAACCAGGTTATCCTTGACCCGATGATCATCAGCATTCTGACTGCGAACACAAAAGCAGATTTTCCTTGTTAGGCAAGGAACAGCCAAAAGAAAGAGGCTGGATAAAACACTTTGTATTTTAATGCTTATCCTTGGATTTTAGTGGTGCAACAACAATGTGTATGTATAGTTCTGTGTCATTTTTTCACATGAGTGAACTCATGGAACCACCTTAATCAAGATACAGACTTACTCTGTCACCATCACATTTCCCTCATCCTAACCCTTTAGCATCATACCTGTCACCTCCTCACCTGCACCCCTAAACATCCCGAGCCCTTGGTAACCCCTAATTTGTTCTCCATGTGTGTAATTTTGTCATTTCAAGAATGTCATATAAATAGAGAACCTCATACGAAAGAATAGTTCAATGTATAAAAGTCAATCAATGTAATACACCACATTAATAAAAAAATGGGAAAGAAATCACATGACATCTCAATTGATGCAGAAAAAACATTTGACAAGATTCGGCACCCTTTTCTTTTCTAGGAACTCAATCTGGTCCAAGACTCTGTTTTCTAACAGAAAACAGGCATTTTAGAGTCTTCAATTAATAACTCCATGTGAAATGACATCTCAATGGAACTAGGCTGTCCTTAATGAGCTTTTCATTATATTCTTCACTGTAAAAATAGACAGCAATTAATTCTATTCTTTTTAGGAGTATTCAGTCTACTGAAAATGAAACTAGCGCTTCCAATGGTCAAATATTCTCCTCCCAGTATCCCTGTTTCTATGATCTGTTGCCTCTCTGGGTGCCATAGTCATGTCATGTGGACAAAGAGCAGGTTGACATAAAAATCCTAATGAAATGTTAATCATTTCCTGGTGCCAACAAATAGGTTAAGTGAAGTCTAAAAGCCAACTCAAAAGGCATTAAATCTGCTATTACCAAAATAACTTCAGCACCACCCTCCACATTGTAAAACCCTTCTCCCCTTCTATTTCTTCTCAGCATCGTAGTACATGATTAATGCTGTCAGAAGAATGTGGAGAGAGAGTGCACAGAAGGCTGGATTCCTTACTGTTTTCCATATTCCCAACACCTAAACATATTTTGCTTTTCTCTCCTCCTATGAAGGGTTCTGAGTAAAATATGAGAGCCAAATAACAGTTTCAAAGGATGGGCTTCATAGATGCTTAAGCTGGGTTGGAGAATGTGGTAGGGCATCCTACTTCCTACCACCTACCTCCTTTGCCTGTATGAACTCACTCAACCAATCCTAAACAGAGACATTGAAAATGGGTGGAACCCCACCCGCCCACCCACCCACAGTGGCAGGCTTACTGCGTGGGGACAGACAGTAGTGGGGGGTGAGTGAACATTGCATGAGGTCAGATGTGTTATTTGAGGAAACAGCAAGTCCCACCTTTGTAATTCAGTGCCCCTGATGTTAGGTAGCCCTGAAGCCTAGTATAAGACAGGTACTCAAAGTCTCAACAATTATAGTAACCCCTCAGCTACCCATGGGGCAGGGAGAATAATACAGGATCAGTGGGACCAGGAGTTTTCTCTCCAATATTTCATCTTCCTATGAATTGGAGCTGAAGTCCTAGTTCTCCTATAAGAATAAGAGGGAAAAAAAGAGGAATTTCTCTGTAAATAGTTGAAAAAGTGGTCCTCCCATCATACGTAGGTGTATCTGCCTACACAGTCTCAAATAATTACCCTACCTTGTATACTTGCATGCTTTCTACCCATGAGGCCCAAGGAAAATCCCAATGAATACCCTTGTGAAATTTTCTTTAACTCTATGTATGGCGATGTATAGCAAGAACCAATTTTTGTATAAATTCTGCCATCCTGACTTCAGTACATAACCTTAATCCAATCACACACACACACACACACACACACACACACACACGACTATGGAACATTCTCTTTTGAAAATAAAGAGGAAGAGAAAATTCACACAATGATGAATAATATTATCCAGGTGGGCAGAGGATGCTCGAGCTTACTACTGCCTCTGGGAGTACAACTGGCAGCTCAATGCAGCCCTCTCATTTTCCCCAGGGTCCCCACCTCAGACACTCCCCATTATGCTTAGATCATCCTTGAGTGTATTCCTGTGCACAATCCCAAACCATCCTCCCCAGGTCTGAGTTCACGGAAGATGACAGCCTGACGCTGAGTCTGTTCTTGCTTTGGGGCAGGATTGCGTGGTTGACTGCTGAGGTGAGGAGCTCCGGAAACCTTCCTTTTCACCACCCAGCTGTGGCCTGGGATTATTACCCAACGTGTGTGTGTGTGTGTGCGTGTGTGTGTGTGTGTGTGTGTGTGTGTTGGGTGTTCGGGGTGTTGGGGGATGGGATCAGGAATGAGTAAAATCAATATTGTGTCTAAGCATGCTCATTGAAAACCGAAAATAGTCACCACCCTTAAAGAAGGTGACCCAAATGCTCCACTCATGTCCACTGCAGCCCATGGTATGATGACAACAGACACTGCCAGGCAAGATCATCTACACAGGCTGCCATTACTCTAAAGCTGGAATATTCAGGGATAGGCCATTCTAGGCTTTCTAACTATGTACCCCTATCTCAGGTACCTCTGGCGCAGCAAGTATATTTTTGAGACGTAGGAGGAGACCCACTGAGATCAGGAGTATTTTGATGTGGGCATTACTCACTCTGGGATAGTCCAGAGCTCCTTTAGGCTGCCCCAGGTCAGGGAGTTCTAGAAACATAAGCACAGGCTATTGCCAAACCTCTCAGGTCACCTAGCTACCAAAGCTTAGGGGAGGGAAGGCTTGCCTTCTGTCACCTCCACACACAGATGCAGACACAGCTGACATCATTTAATGACCAGGAACACATTATACTAAAAAGAGAGACTTGGGTACTCTTTTTTTTTTTGAGACAGAGTCTGACTTGCCTGGGCTAGAGTGCCGTGGCGTCAGCTGAGCTCACAGCAACCTCAAACTTCTGGGCTCAAGCTATCCTTCTGCCTCAGCCTCCCGAGTAGCTGGGACTATAGGCACGCGCCACCATGACTAATTTTTTTCTAAATATTTTTAGTTGGCCAATTAATTTCTTTCTATTTTTAGTAGAGATGGGGTCTCGCTCTTGCTCAGGCTGGTTTAGAATTCCTGACCTTGAGAGATCCTCCGGCCTCGGCCTCCCGGAGTGCTAGGATTACAGGCGTGAGCCACCACGCCCGGCCAAGACTTGGGTACTCTTACGGTAAATTTCTTTGCAATCCCTGACTTGTCATTTCTTCCCATTTTCAGGTATAGATGTTTCTTGGAGAAGGGACCCCTTTTTCTATAGGCTGTTCCTTTCCTACTGACTGCAACATCATATGGGGAAACTCGAGTCCATCAGAATGCTTTTGAGCAGAAAATATTTTCTGCAGTTTGCCAGTTCTAACCAAACTAGGAAAAAAAAAGGAGTATGTATTCTCTGGAACAAACACATAACAGCCCTGATAAAATTTCTTATTTTCTACCATCTAGTAGAGTGTTTTTTTCAGATTTTAGCATGCAACGTGTTTACCTGGAAGATATATAACACAGAGATTGATGGGCCCCACCTAGAGTTTTTGAGCCAGCAGGTGTAGGGCAGGACCTGAGAATCTGCATTTTCTAATAAGTTCTCAGGTGATGCTGCTGCTGACCAGGGAACCACACTTTGAAAACAGTTGATTTGGTGAAAAGTAAATTTCATAGTGATCACAATTTCATAGTTTCACATTAATCACAAAATTTGACTTGGTATCAAAAAGAACAGAAAAATGGTCATCTGTGACAATAGCTTCTTCTCTTTTCCACCTGCATTTAACTGAATTATCAGATCAAAAATGCTTCCCCTTCCCCCCTGGATACCTGAAAGGCTCTAAATGCTCTTGCCCTGACTGGGCCCCAGGCCAGTCTCCCCTCTAGGCTTAGGTGAAAAGTTGGTAAGTATCCCGAGTAATTGGCCCTCCATTAGAAAGTGCGACGCAAATGACATCATCAGAGCACAGGAGATGAGTATTAATTCCTCAGCGCCCACTGGGCTCTGCTTTGGGTTGTCAGTGGTTGAGTTTTTCACCAAAGGCCTCTTGAGAAGCCCCTCCCCCACAGCTAGAGCTAAGGGTCTCCCCAGGCCTGGTCTCTGCTCCCTCCTCTTGCCCCTGCAGGCCTAGGGTTGTCATGTTACCACTGTGGTCATACCACGCCCCCATCCAGCACCTTCTCCTGTTAATCTCACTGAATGATGCCATAACATCTTAACTAGCCCTCTTATTAAACTTCCCTCTGTTACCAGGTTGAAGGTGCCCCTCAGGGTCAGAACCATGATGGAATAGCTCCCTTAGGAGGATGCCTGCTGCAGAACTGGTCCTTAAAAAAAGGTTTGGAATTTCAAAGTGCACAGAAATGAGGGCAGCAAAGCAGAGAAAGCCTTTACCTCATGGTGCTGTGGGACAGCAGGTGCTCCGTGGTACTTTGCTCCAGCCTGGGAGGCTCCTCCAAGGTTTGTCCACAGAGTTCTCGGGCTTCTCAGGTAAGCATGCGTGCTTATATATGGGAGGTATGCCCAGGCACTTTGCCACGTCCTCGATCAAGGTCCAATGAAACTCTCAGGGTAAAAATGAAACTTAGAAAGAGAAGGCTATCTCTGCTTTGATTCCAAACACATGCTCAGTTTTGGCAGCTAAAGGAGTATTTATGAAAAGCAGTTTTGATATGCAAATTCCCTGCTGGGGTCAATGTAACCTAGGAAATGGAGGATACCTGGACCTCTTGATGATGTTCAGTGTTGTGGAGAGACCAGTGAAGGACAGGATGTACATTTTTGTGTGTATAATTTGTTAGTATCACGAGTACCCAGCCAGGTGGTTCCAGGGACATCTGCAATGGAAGCTCCTTGGACCAGAGTCAGTGGTTTCTGCCTAAAGGAATACTACAGAGAGCCATTGTCAATTTGTGGAAGAATGAGGTTGCAGATGGTTCGGTCTTCTTTTGTGATGCTGTGTTAGGCAAAATGGTTCCCTCTGTGTTTAGAGATATTGGTCTGTAAGAAAAGTGTCGTCAATTAGCAGTATTTGTGTTCCCACCAACTCAGACTCCAGTGGAGCCTATGCAAGCATATTGATTATTTGATGGTCTTTACTGTCCACTGTCAGTAGTTCAAACAACAGTGTTTAAGCCAGTTAGTACAGGAACATGTGATGGGGCCACTGAGGTTCACAGTACTCTATGGTGTGTGGATGTTAAAATCTAAATTTACATAATTCTTCTGGGTTATCCTCATGTATCTTCTGTTTCCGCTATTTTTTAGATCTCCTGTTACAAAGCAACAACCACCAGAATGTCAATCGAACAATTTTCACATGTTTAATGAAAAACTTTCTGTGAGACCAAGAGTGGTATAATTGTCTGTGCAAGAAGAAGGGGAAAAGAAAAATGTGTGTGGAACATTTTTCTTTTGGAAAAACACACAAAAAATTTTTGGAGATCAAACAAATGTGAAATCCTCTTGTGAGGTGACTCAATAACTTGAGTCACCATGCAAGTTTCATGCATTGGTTACATAGGAGGATAGTGCACCAAGATAAGCTAAAGGGCAAAGACCAAGACCAATTTCCCTTGAGTGACTATTTCAAGATAGGTTTATTAGCTTTATTATAGTCTACACATAATTACCGAGTGAAACTGTAGCCCTGCTGTGCTGTTTCTTCTTTGTCCTGGACCTGTAACTTGGCAATATTTCCTAAGCTTCCTTGTGGTAAAGTGTGGTCGTGTGTTTGAGTTTTGGGTAATAGAAATGGGCAAACATTATGTGTGCCATTTCCAGGCCTAGTTCATAAAACATCCATGCATGCTCTTTCATGCCCTTTCCTCTTTTGTGTGAACACTTGGAAGGAACATATTAAAGACGGTGGAGCCAAAAGGTGGAAGGAAGCCGGGAGTGGTGGCTTACACCTATAATCCTAGCCCTTTGGGAGGCTGAGATGGGAGATCGCTTGAGCCCAGGAGTTCAAGACCAGCTTGCCAACATAGCGACACCCCCATCTCTACAAAAAATATAAAAATTAGCATGGTGTGGTGGGAGGCTGAGGCAGGAGGATCACATAAGCCCAGGAATTTGAGGATGCAGTGAGCTATGATGACATCACTGAACTCTAGCCCAGGGAACAGAGCAAGACCCTGTTTCAAAAAAAAAAAAGAAAATGAAAAAAGTTTTAGTCTCTGAATCACTGCAGGGAGGGTAGCTACCTGCCAATCAGTAATTTGAGAAATAAATTCCTATATTGTTTCCCAAGTCATATTTGAAGGTTTTTTGGATAACACCTTGCATTACCATAGCCAATAGAGATGATTAGAAAAAAATTAAAATTGTATATATATTTCCAAATATCAGATATCATGATCTGTTCAAATTTGGACTATTTACTTTGTTGTCTAAGCGGTACTTTAATTCTTTAATTGTAAGAAGAGAGAATTGATAAGATACTAAGATAATGAGACTTTTCAGAAATGTTTTCTATGAGCTTATAATGCCCATGTGCTGTAATGCTCAGGTAGTTTAGATGTTAGATATTCTTTTATTCTTTCAGTGCCTTTCTGATGGTGGTAAATCGCCCAGTCTGTCTTGGACCTCTGGCAGATCTTGTTTCACTGTAATTGGTGAAGGATGTTGAAGGGGTGACTGCAGCAAGAGCCGAGCATCTTCAGTGTCAGTCCCCTCCAGCCAAAGACTGCAGAAACACACTCCTGTTAGAGCACATTGGGTAGATTACTCATTGCAGTGAAAGAAGACACACAACCATGGGGAACTATGGGGTGTCTCAACAAGAGGGTGTTACAGAGAACTTAACAGATTTGGGCTTGTGTTGGAAGATTAGGGGGAGGATTTAAGGAAGCAGGGCTTTTCTTGGAATCAGATACTTGCAGGAAGCAGGAATGATTCTATGATTGAGTATCTTAAATCATGCCTAAAAAGAGGGAATATTAGACCAATGTTAAAGGTGTAATTTGAAAAGAAGTAGCAGTCATTAATGTTAACCAGGTTAAGGGACTGTTTGAGCTCAGACATGATTACAGAGTGGCCATGTACTTTGTCTTAATCCATCAAGGTCACAGGATGGCCTTTTCTGATATTACTGTTCTTAAAATTGTTTATGTGCTACTGGAGAATACTAGGCCAGCTCCCAGATGTCCAGGGCTGCTCTTCTCTTTCTTGTCGGGGAATTTCTGTGTTACCACTCCAGCAGACAGAGGGGTATCCTGACTTTTCTAAGACCAAAGATTATATAGACAAGAAGGAGTACCCAGAAAGGAACATCAAAGAGGATTTTATGCATTCACAGTTCAAATATGCAGATCTCTTAGAAAAGGGTATGCTCAAGAAGCGGTAGTATAAAATCTCTCCGTGTGAATTAAAAAAATTCTTTCTATGTCCATTTAAAAGGAGGGATTTAGGCAACTTGAGATAGACCACATCTGCCCATTAGTATGAGACAAGTTCTGAGAAAAAAAATACTGACCCTCTCGACATCTTATAGACACAGGACATTGTTTAGATCCATGTGATCCTCCCCAAACCCACCAAATCCCCAGATTACTTAAATAATGAGAATGTGAATCCCATGCCTTAAGTATAGTCTAATTACAGAAGTAGGTAGTACAATTTTCTAGGCATAATGAGTGCAGAAATGAAGGGCAAAACCACCCAGGGGAACAAAGATCAGGGAACTAGGTCCAGGTAGGCCTGCCGTGGAAGCCCAGGTTTGCTTAAAGGGAAGAGTGACTGTCAGGCCAACATTGTCTCATCTGGGAATGAACAAACTCAGGCCATTAGAAAGAACCTTCTAGACAGGTCAGATGACAGAATCTCTTGTTGGAAGGGGTCTCCTCACAGACGTGTGCCATGTTACCTATTTCAGGGTTGTGTTCTCTGAATATAAGACAGTAAAATTCCATCATAGAACAACTGTTATCCTATGTATGGGGCCAATGGGACATTTTTTTCTGAGGTTTCCTTCCCTCCTCCCCAGCTTGGGCACAGTGAGCAATGTCAAAACCTTTTAGTCTCACTCATCTTTGTGCACACAAGATGGTGTTGCTCAGTGGTGAAAGCCAACTGGAGCGAGACCGTCTGGGGTCATTACTAGACTCTGCCGCTCACTGGATGTGCGATCTTGGGCTAGTCAGTTCACATGTCTAAGCCACATTCACTTACCTGTAAAATTAGCATAGCTGTATGACTTTCCTCATGGGGTTGTGCTGAGATGAAATGGGATATTGCATGGAAAGTTTGTCTCACTGAAGGACATTCGGTCATTGTGAGTGTTGCTTTCACAGTGCGGGACGAGCCCCTCCATCTGTACCATCTGTGCTGACCATCAGCTGGAGCCCTTGCCCACTACGGGTTTTCCCAGTGGGCACTAGGGAGAGGTGCCTCATGTCATGTCTGACTGTGCAGCTGCTGAGATAGTGGTGTTCTGTCCTGAGCTTTGGGCCGAGGCGGTCTAGATATTCCCACCTCAAGCTCAGATCAGGGAGCCCTGGCCATGCCCACGTGGAGCCTGGCAATGCCTCTAGGGCAGCAGGCACCCAGCCCCTCCCTAATACCCACAGACCTGTGTAGGGGGAGAAGAGACTGTAGAAGGGGGATCACTTTCTCTCAGCTCTCTCCCTCCAGTTCTGTATCAGATGGGAGGATTCTAGAAGACCAACTGAGTTTTCAGGTGCAAATATTTTCTGCAAGGCACCAGCCCTAACCCAACACTGAAAGAAAGGAATGGAAACATAAGCAAATATGGAAAGGAATGTTAAGAGGGCTGCTTACAACTGAGAGCAGTATGACTTTGGAATTTTCGAGCATATAATTATTGCTTAGTAACACTGCATCAGAGAAACAGAGCAGAGTGTTTATCACTATGAATTTGGTAGCAGTCCTCCTTCTGTGGGACTCTGGCTGAGCTGATTAGGTATTTAGAATCTAGCCCAGCGTGTGCTTGGCACAAACAGACCCACAAACCTCACAGGACAGAGCAGCATTGAGGAGAGGAAACACCTAAACTCTCTCTGTGTGTGTGTGTGTGTGTGTGTGTGTGTGTGTGTGTGTGTGTGTGTGCGTGTGATTACAAACAGGAAGGAGAAATGGAAACTAGAGAGGGAAACTCATTTCTCATGGACAGGATTCCTACTTGGAGAAATGAAACCTAAGCATTGAATTATGACTCCACTATCAGGATTCAGGACTGTTCTATGTTTAACCGACTAGCTGACTCAACTTGATTTCACTTCAACTCTGAGTTGCCTCTTCAGTGCTATAAAAACCTTGGCTTTTAACAGTGGTTTACAACCTTGGCTGCAAACTGAAAAATTCCCTGGAAATCTTAAAAAATTGCCTGAGCCAATTTCCAGACCAATGAGTCAGAATCTCTGGAAGTAAAGTCCAGGCATCAGTATTACCAGTAATTTTTTTTTTTTTTTTAAGAAATCCCATGGGGATTTTTGTGTGTGGTTTAAAACCACTGGATCACAGTTTT